AAGGGAGGGAGGAAGGAAAAAAGGAAAGAGAGAGAAAGGGAAGAAGGGAAAAAGGGGGGATGGAGGAGGGAGGGAGGGAGAGAAGGCAGGCAGGCAGGCAGGCAGGCAGGCAGGCAGGCAAGAAGAAACCCAGAAAAGGAATTAAGAAGCACAAAAGAGTAAATATACATCATGCCAGGTGTGGTGACATAGGTCTATAATCCCAGGACTCAAGATCAATTGGGAGGCTGAGACAAGAGGATCATGGTTTCCATGCTAGCCTAAATTAAACAGCAAGATCTTGTCTCAAAAAATAAAAGGTTAAACTAAGGAACAAAAGTCTATCATTGACAGAAAAGATACAAAAAACTTCTACAACTATCAAATAAAACGTTTTGAACTCCAGCAGGCACAGCCTGCTTAAGTTTTTCCCAGACTAGGAGTATGTCTTATGTGGTAGAACACTTGCCTAGTAAATACAAGGCCCTGAGTTCAACCCACAATATAGCCTAAAAAGGATCTTGTTTAGATTTTCCCAAAAAATATACTACAAAACTGCCCCCGGCCGTGCTCTGTTGGCTCTCGCCTGTAATCCTAGCTACTCAGGAGGCTGAGATCTAAAGATCGAAGTTCAAAGCCAGCCCTGGCAGGAAAGACTGCAAGACTCTTATCTCCAATAATCCACTAGAAAACCGGAAGTGGTTTCTGTGGCTCAAGCGGTAGAGCACCTGCCTTGGGCTGAAGAGCTGAGGGATAGCGCCCATGCCCAGAGTTGAAGCCCCATGACCGACTTCCCCCACCCAAAAAAAAACTGCCTCCAAAAAATGTCTACCTGAATTCCTGGAGGACCTTTCATTCTGCAGATGACTTTCTTTTTTTGGCGGGGAGGGGGTGGGGATGGGGGGGCGGGTCGGGTCGTGGGGCCTGAACTCTGGCCTGGAGGCTGTCCCTCAGCTCTTCAGCTCAAGGCAAGCGCTCTACCACTAGAGCCACAGCGCCACTTCCGGCTTTTTTCTTTTTGCTTATGTGGTGCTGAGGAATTGAACCCAGGGCCTCATGCATGCAAGGCAAGTGCTCTACCACTGAGCCACCTTCCCAGTCCGCAGATGACTTTCATTCAACTGAAAACTCCAAATTTCCCAAGACCACTTACCTCTTGTTCTTCATTATACACCATGAGAAGTCTGAACACTCTACTGAAAATGTTTCCATAAAATGGGGTTCAATTTCCCTACTACAACCAATCCCTAATAGAAACACATTTGTTGTTATTCCAAATACACCCGATTGGGCTGGGATGGTGGCTCAATGGTAGAGCACTTGCCTTGCATGCCTGAGGCCCTGGGTTCGATTCCTCAGCACCACATAAGCAAAAAGGAAAAAGCCAGAAGTGACACTGTGGCTCAAGTGGTAGCGCTCTAGCCTTGAGCTGAAGAGCTGAGGGACAGCGCCCAGGCCCAGAGTTCAGGCCCCACAACTGAACCGAAAAAAAAAAAAATACACCCGATTAAATTTATGGATGGAAGGAATTTTAGTGGGCAACTAGCCAGGGAGTCCAAGAAACAATGACTAACTCCACAATCTCCACCAGCACCAGAACCACTCCTTGGCGGAGTAGTCAACACATAAGCCCCATTCTCTCCAGGCTTCCTACCCTTGATCTGGTCTGGGTCCGTGAAAGGAAGGGGAAGAAATTACATACCCTGGCTCTGAAGTAATTCTAGCATCCTGAAAAGCTACACGGATCACGGATAGTCAGTGCAAAGAAAGGCACAGAACTCACTAACCAAATTATAAAGATTCAGTTCACCTAAAGGAAATAAGACACGGAACGGGGTGCACTGAAGTCCTCACAATTTACTATCCCAGCACCCATCATGCACATGCACATGCACTCGCGTGAATAAAACTGAAGAGAAACAAAATACATGACCTAAGACTTAATCCAAAATTCATTTCAAAGTTTCACCTGAAACTTTTAAAGGATTTGTCATATAGAGTCTAGACCTGTTTAACAAAAAACTATCTCTATAGGACTGGCTGGCCAGAAAGCCTCTGCCAGTGTACAAGAATTGGGAGTGGGTAGTCAGAAGGAAAGAAAAAAAAAAGATGAAAACTGTGGGGGGAAAAAAGAAACATACTTCTCAATGTAATTTTTTTTTTAAAAGGCAATTTAGGACTCTATTTTAAGGCCTCTTCGTAGCAGAAGAATAGCTTATGGATTTCAAAGACTGGATTTCCTGCTCAAACTGCCCAGATTACCATGCTGGTTCTGCCACTTAACAGCTGTGGGTAGGTATGCGTCAAGCTGTTCAAATTCCCCATTTCAGGGCTCTCACCTGGAAAATGGGACTGAATAGCACACATCATTCAGCTGTTAAAGAAGCAAGAGGGGGGAGAATCCACGTAAAGCATCGACACAGTGAACGTTCCTCTAAAATACAAGATCTAACGATCTATCAAGTATACGCGTCAGCTTTGGAAAACTGACGTCTGAGGTATTTCGTAAAAGCATTTGACCCCCCCTTCCACCCACGCTGCGGCAACCTCCCCTTCGAGAGGAGGTGGAAATCTCATTCATCCGTCAGAGAGCTTCGTCGCACACCGTCAAGAAAGAGAGAGATGCCCTTCTCAGTGGACTATTGCTCCTTCAACAACTTCAGAATTTAGTCACGTTCACAGCTGGTTGGAGCTGTCCGCAAAATGACAGCTGGCAGCTTTTCGGGGCCCGCAGAGGCGCGGGGTGGCTCTGCCTAGCAGGATTCGCCTCAATCCCGCACCCACCGCCCCTTGCTTGGCCGAGCAGGCGCGCGCTCGGGAACCCCGGGAACCTCGGGAGCACTCGGCGCGGGAACGGCCGCAAGTGTGCAGAACGAGAGCAGGCCGGGGATACACCGGCCCGGGGGGGGGCGCTGGGGCTCGCGGGGTACACTCGACGAGGCACGCCCGCCCGCTGAGACCTGCGCGGCCCGGGCGCCCGGGACCGCCAGAGCAGTCCGGACAGGCAGCGCCGGCGCCCGGGCGCGCTCCCCATCCGCCCGCTCCGGTCCCCCGACAGCGCTCTCCCCCGGCCGCGCCCCCCGACCTCCGCCGCCCGGCTCAGCACGCACGGAGCCTCTGGGGACCCCGAGCCCCTCACCTGAAGGCGGGTCCTTCCTTGGGCGCCCTGCCCTGGGCGGACGCCGCCGCCGCGCTGCCGCCACTGCCCCTTTTGTTAAAGAGCTTCTGGAGCAGGGTCGGGGCCATGATGCCGCGGTCGCAGCAGCTCCAGCCGTGGCGCTCGGGGAGGCCCGCGGCTCAACGCGCAGCCGGGGGCGGCCGCGGCGGGGCCATCGCAACGGGGGCGTCGTCGGAGGCGCGGCCACCCGGTCTGGCGCGAGCGCGGAGCCGCTGCGGCTGAGGAGTGGTGGCTAAGTAGCGTGCTGTGGGCTGCGCGTTGGGACCGCCGGCGGCTGGTCATATGACTGAGCCGGCCCGCCGCCTCGCGCTGACAGTTAACCTCCCGCGGGAGGAGCCCGCAGCTCCGCGGCGAAGGCGGCGGCGCGGGAGGGGCGAGGGAGGAGCGGGGTAGGAGCGGGGGAGGAGCGCGAGGGCTCGGCGGCAGCTATTGGCTCACGGGTCTACGTCCCCTGAAGGGGCGCGGCTTGACGCGCGAGGGAGCAGTGCTTAAAGAGGCCGGGGCGGGGTCGAGGCGCTCTCCGGGAGCCGGGCGAGGCAACCCGGACACCTCGCGTAGCTCCTGATTAGGGGAAACCACCTTCTGGGCGGATCTTTGATCTTGGGAGACAAAGACCTTAAACTTGGGCTGGTACGGAACTCGCTTAATGGAATGTATGCAGGACGACAGGTTCAATGCTTGGAATTGCTGTTTGGCAGGGCTGGGACTGCAGTGACAAGGCTCGCTCTGAGATATTGGCTTGTACGGTATTAGCACGTTCCTGCCATAACCACAGGAGATTTCTCCGAGCTCTTACATGTTTAATTTAAACAACTTATGCAATCATTGTTCTGTTTGACTTTTGGGGCCACGCCATATCTTGGTTATGTAAAAAGCTGTATTTAAAATGGTTAGCCTTTAAATACAGAGAAAAGACTAAGTACGTAGTTTGAGAAATTTAATACATGCTATTTTAAACAAGGGCTTGCTTTCCTAATTTGACAATCCTGACACATAAAAAAATGTTATCAAAGACAGATACTTGGTTTGTAGGTGGAAATGAGGTCATTTTCCTGCCAGTTCCACCTGAATACCCATGAGAATTCAGTGTTTTGTGGTGCCAGGCGCCAGAGCCTGAAGGTGTCACCACATTCAAAGCAGCTTCATAATCTGTTCTCTAGCTCGAGGCTCTAGTTTGGGGGATAGTGGATAATAGAGCTAAATAAAGTTGGAACTCAACCCCACCTCTTCCAGCTTCTTCATGAGTAATACCTTGACTCATCTGGATTTTCTTAGATTTGATGAAAGCAGGACTTAACAATGTAAATGTATTTTCATAAATATGTGTAATCAAAAATATCAGTAGTTCAGTGATAGAGCACTCCTCTAGCAGAGGTCTGGGTTCATCCTCAGCAAGGACAACAATGCATATATTTTGAGTCGATTTTAATTTCCAGTACTGTTTTTTCTTTTGTGCCAGTACTGGAGCTCTCCCTTTTTGGTTGATATGTTTTTTGGTTTTTCGGCCGTGGGGCTTGAACTCTGGGCTTAAGTGCTATCCCTGTGCTCTTCAGCTCAAGGCGATTGCTCTACCACTTGAGCCACAGCGCCACTTTCAGGAGCTCTCCTTTTTTACTCGTCTGGCACTCTACCACTTGAGCTACACATCCACTTCCTGCTTCTTGGTGGTTAATTAGATATGAGTCACATGGTCTTTTTCTATCCCGGCTGGCTTCCAACTGTAATCCTCAAATCTCAGCCTCCTAAGTAGCTGGGATTACAGGCAAGGACCACCAGTGCCTGACTCCATTTTTTACTGTATAGATTTTATTGTGTAAATTCTGACCTTGTTAGAAACTCTCTCGAGATGATAATGTGCTTAAGTTTTACAAGGGTAAGATGGTAGAGACTGAAGTCTAGGGGAGATTTTTCCTTTTCTTTCTCTTCCTCCCTTCTCTTATTGTTTTCCTTCCCTTTTTCCTTTCTTCCTTCCTCCCTCTCCCTCTCCTTCCCTCCCTTCCTCCCTCCCTCCCCCCTTCCCCCCCTCTCTTTGTCTCGCAGACACTGAATCTGGGACCTTTCCTAATCACTTACCACTTGAGCTATGCCCCACAGCCTTTTGTTATTGTTGTTGTTGTTTGGGGTTTGTTTTCAGTTTTGAAGCAGAGTCTCAAAAGTAGACCTCAAATCTTCCATCCTTCTGCCTTTGCCTCATGAACAGCTGGGATTACAGTTGTACAACACCATGCCCACCTGTTCAGTCATTTTATTCCTTGATATTTTTATTGTTAGAATGGTGAATTAAGAGTTTATGCTAGTAAGCACTTATTCTTTTGCACAACTAAATTGTACACCAAGTCCTGATTTATAGATTTGCTGTCTCTTCCTCTGTTTAGTGAGAACCATTGCTTCCCAGGTATATGGTTATCAACTAGTATCCTGTGTTGTGAGTACTGGCCTCATCTTCTGTGACTCGGGACATATTAATGGCAGGTGACATATCACCTTTCTTTATCTCATCTTTGGTCAGAACATGTCTTGTACTCTCCTAACTGAAGTTTGCATGCTGCTTTGTGTAACTTTTTTTGCTTTTTCTTTTTTTTGTCAGTCATGAGGCTTGAACACTGGGCCTGGGCGCTGTCCCTCATCTCTTCAGCTCTATCACTTGAGCCACAGTGTCACTTCCAGTCTTTTGAGTGGTTTATTGGAGATAAGAGTCTCGAGGACTTTTAGTGTCCAGGCTGGCTTTGAACTGCGACCCTCAGATCTCCGCTTCCTGAGTAGCTAGCATTATAGGTGTAAGCCACCAGTGCCCAGCTTGCCTTGTGTAACTTGTATGCTTAATTTGACCTGACCTCCCTGTACTCATCTCAAAGATCTGTTTTCAGTTCTAGCCAGTTCAAGTGGATACCATCATCCAAGAGACATAGCTGAAAAGTCCTAGCTTGTTATCAGCTTTGATCCTGACTAGGCAACTGTAAGGGAACAATGCCTGTTGACAAGACTTTGAGCTAGGGAAAAAAGAGGGAGCTAAAATGGTTTTCTTCTTCTTCTCCTTTGCTTCCTTTCTATATCACATTTTTCCTCATGCTAGATCTGGCTATATACTTCCTGCTCTGTGTTTGGTTTTCTTTGTTTTTGTTTTGTTTTGTTTTTCTCAATCATAGGGCTTGAACTCAAGTCAGGGCCTGGGCTTTTGTGCTGAAAACTAGCACTCTAGCACTTTGAGTCACAGCTCCACTTCTGGTTTTCTGTGGTTAATTGGGGAATAAGAGTCATGTCATGGTCTCTCCTGCCTGGGTTGGCTTTGAACTGTGATCCTCAGATCTCAGCCTCCTGAGTAGCTAGCATTATAGGAATGAGCCACCTGGCCCTTAGGTTTTTAAAATGTACAAAAGTCCTAGCCAGTGAAGCTTGAGAGAGTGATCTAGACAAACTCTCCCTGTCTCATCATTTTTGTTGGGTATTCAATGTCTCCAAAGAAACCCACTTATTTTTTATTCATTTATTATTTATTATTTTCATTTTTTGCATAACTGAGATTTGAAGTCAGAACCTCTTATTTGCTTGTCTGGGACTTTGCCACATGAGTAATGCCCAATGACTCCAGCCCTGCTTTTTGCTGGTTATTGTGGAAATGGAGTTCTCAGACATTTCTGCCCAGGCTGTCTTTGAACTGCCGTGCTCCTGATCTCAGCCCCTAGCTAAGATTACAAGTGTGAACCACAGTACTTGGCGAAAAGATAGTGATGGGTTTTGTTTTTGTTTTTCTTTTTGTTTTGCCTATCATCCACTAGTCACTCCCTCATACCCAGGCTTGTCATAGTCCTAGGCTCCAGAACTGACCATGTGACTCTACATTGAATTTTCAGAGAAGCAGTATATAAATCAATATTTTGAATGTTTGGAGATGACAGAACACCACAATGGAAAAGGGCATTGGTAAAGGTCTGGTGTACATATACTGGTCTATTCTGATTTATGGAGTCAGTACCCAATTAATGTATATTCTGAGCACTGTTTTAGTTTGACCTCTATCCAGGTGTGGTGGACACCATAAGTGGCCTGCCCAGTATGTGAAAACCCCTTTTTCCTAACAAAGGCAGCAAGAAGAAAAGCAGCTGGAAGAGAAAAAGTAATTCTAGAAAAAAAATTCCTGTTCTTTATAGAGATAGAGATGTTGGGATTTGTTTTTTGATGTTGTACAACTAGATATACTGCTACAACTATCTTGACACAAGCCTCCAGATGAAGCTAAGAGTAGGGACAACAGAGCAGAAAGGTGGCATTAATGGCATTAGGGACCTAGAATCACCCTGTCCTAAGTTGATAATCTTTAGATGAGATCATTTTTATAATTTTTATTGAGATTAAATGATTACATAAATTTCACAGTATTGTAGGATAATGATACTTAGTTAAAGTCACAAATACATTTTACCCTTTACAAGAAAAATTGTCATTATCTTGGTTTATAAAGTTTGTGAACTCTATAAACTTTGATAGCTAACACTAAGCAAAAGGAAAGAAATGTACATACCATCCAACACAGAAGAAATAACTGTATTGAGATCACATTTTTATTATGAGTCCAAAAGGAATCTATGGGAAGTTGGGGGATTTTCTTCTTCACTGCTTATGTGATAAGCTCCTACTATTTAACTCTAAGTGTACCAGAGAAAGTGTTCATCACCAGTGGTTTTGTTCTCTTTTATCATGGTGCTGGGTTGGACCCTAGGGCCTCAAACATAATAGGCAATCCTTCTACCATTGAACTATACCCTCAGCCCTGCTTTTTTTCATATATTAAGTCATTTTGTAAATTGTTGCAGAAGCAACAATACAGAAAAATAATTTATAACAGATTTTAAACAGCAAATCCAATTTTCCATTCTGTTTCTTTCATATTTGAAAGTAATAGTTACCATAAATGGGTAATATTCTTTAAATACAACTAACAATTTAATAATCAACAAATACAAACTAAGGTCATAATCTTGCAAATACTGGTTCTGGATTTCAACTGTATCTCCAGTTTCCTAGCTTCTCATTACTTTTGCTCCTTCTTGTGCTTGAATAAACAAAAAGC